ATATTCAATTGTTATGATACTATGTGAAGTTATCCACCCCTGAATGTTTCCGCCATTCTGGTTTGGGGGTGTGACAATCTCTGTCGGTTCCAATTCCTTACCGGTCCTTGAAGATGAAGATGCTTCTCAGATGGTTTTCTTTTCTACATAGCAAGTATCGATTTTCAGTTGAATTCGATTTTTAACAACCAATATCAATTACAATAGATTTTGTTTACTTAGCAAGCAATCGATTGTAATGAACCATCGATTTTTAGGAATCAATCGATTCTCATGGAAAATCGGTTCATAAAAAAAGACAACTCAAACAATGGAAAATATTCAATTGATTCTTAGCAGCTAAATCGATTCATTCCAGCGTTTAGAGAGAGAGGGAAAAAGAGAAAGATATATATATATATATATATATATATATATATATATATATATATATATATATATATATATATATATATATAGAGAGAGAGAGAGAGAGTAGGGGGGCCGATGGAGAGGGTTGGGGTGGGGTGGGGTAGGGTGAGATTTTATTTTATTTATTTAAATACTAAAATAAACAAAAGAAAATAGAAAAAAGAAATGAAAATAGTAAAATTGTCTTTTGAAGCTGTTCACGGACTAAAAACACGGAAAAACTTAGATTTTTGACCTTCTATACAAGTGAGAAAATTTTTGGACCTCATCCAAAGTTTTTTTAATACCATAGGGACCAATCTTGCAGTCCCCTCCCAAAATTGTCAGCTACCACAATCAGGGGCGGAACGTGAATACTAAAATCGAGGGGGCCGAAATCAAAACTTTATAATAACTATGTAAAAGAAATCGTTTCAAAATATGATAATGTGAAATTTTAAACAAATAAACTAAATATATTTAACAAACAACCAGTTTGGAGAAAAATACAAGTTACTTAATTACTTTTCACTACTATATATAAGATAACGTATGTTACGTATTATACCCTTTATTGTTTTCAAATTGTTTTTACATTTTCAAAGAACAACAGAGTATAAAAATGATAAATATTTTTACAATTGTGTCACATTTTAGTCTATCTTACCTGATAAGGCAATTGGTGTCAGATGTACTTTGTTATATATATCTTCACAATCACCGTTCACACTTAACAATCTTTAACCAAGAAATAAAGACAAATGAGATACAGAGAGTACCGTAAGAAACCAAGTATAGCTCACTCCGGTAGAGAGGAGATTGGACCGGACAGGGAAAGCGGTAGCCGACAGATCGCAAAGGGGATGTTAGAGGTAAACAGTCCGGCGTCCTCTTGAGGTGAATGAGCGCTCGAAGGAGGCGTCAGTCCGGCAATGGCAACAGGTGGAGGAGGTGCAGTTAGGCGACAACGTTATTTTGGCGGTGAAATTTTGACTTTTCCCGGTGGATGGATACTTTTTGTGAGGGTTTTACTGTTTTCTATTACCCAAAACTTGATCCAAGAACCTCATAAATTTAATTACATTTTAGCTTTTTATAGAGTTAATTGTTTAAGAGATATAGTTGCCTAATGGGATTGTTACAACTTTTTCGTGATCTCCTTGATTTTTGGTTAATTTGGTATGTTGTTTCTTACTTAGAAACTAAATTTTATTAATTTTTTTACATATATATCAGTAAGCTTAAATCAGGGGGCCGAACTAGCCAATTTACGGATTAGTTGATTTATTTCATATATACAGTAGACCACATATGCAGGTATTAGAAGCTTTAAAACCGGGGAGGCCATGGCCCCTCTTAAGATCTGCCACTGTCCACAATGCAGCCACCTCGAGGGTTCAACTACACTTAGATATGTTGAGGGTATTATGCTTATAACTGAAAAAAGTACTCAACTAAGCCTCTTAGCTAAACGGTTAGCGACAATATTATATTGGTATACAATTATTCTAATCAACCTAAAATCTTTCACAACAATAAGGTCTTTGGTTTTCCAAATCAAAGTGATGAAAAAAAATTACAACGAAGTATACTGAGAACTCATTATCACATCATTGCGCAACATATCCCAAAATAATTTTATAAACCCCAAAAAAAACTCATTAGACTCGAAGATTCTTCATTTCAATAATTTCTTATGGATTCTCTAACATTCTCCGCCATGAAATCACTATCAAAAAAAAAAAAAAAAAAAAAAAAAACTGAAAGAGGGGTAAACTTCGTCTTGCATTGGTTTACTCGGCTATTTGGCGTATTTGGAAAGCTCGAAACGCTTTAGTTTTCAACAAGAGAAGGTGTTCTCCTTTGAAGACAACGGATGACATCCAACTTGTGACTTTTAATTGGATTAAATTTTGTTTGTAAATTTATTTCTTTATGTTGGTTTAAGTGGTGTATTTCCCTTTGGATGCTTGTAGTTTGTAACTTTTGGTAACGTCTTGCTAGTTTTTTTTTAATGCATTTGTTGGCCATCATGGGTTCCTTTTGAAACAAATCAAGGAAATCAGTGGGGCCCCAGCCAGGGGCTCTGCCCCTTGGACCCTGCTAGGGGTGATGCCCTCAGACCACGTCAAAGGGGCGCTGCCCCTTTGGGAACCCCGAACCCGGGGGCGCTGCCTCAGACCCCCCGACTTGTCGTCGAACCAGCTTCTAATTCGATCTTATAATGCGTGGACTCCACACATACCCAAAAACATATTAGAATACAAATTTCGAAGCCCCTTAGCTTATATGTAAGTTCTAATTACACAAAATGTCCTGATGACACTAAAATCACCAACATCATCTCTATAATTTTGTTATGAATGCTCATTTGCTTTATCATTTCGTGGTTCATAGTCGAGCCCGAATCGATCTTCAAATCAATTTGTTCCAATCTTTAATCCTTCAAATGCTTTGTAATATTTTTTAGTTTACTGTGAAAATCCATCATCTTGCTCATAACATAAACTCCTCTATCTTCCACCCAAGCATCATTTACAATTTCATGAAAGCCCGAGAGTTAATGCAGCGAAAAGGAATATGACCAAAATCAGTTAAAACCTCCTTTAAAAGAATATAAGCATATGATCCGATAAATTTATATCCAACAAAAGCTCTAACAAATTGGGCTACACCTTGGACATAGAATTAGATAGAAGAAATCTATCCAATTTACTCAGCTTTGCACCACAAAAAGAATCCCATATGAAACGACAAACTTCTAACTTAACATCCATTAACTCTAACATCTTCTATAAATCAGTTAAATAAACATGCTCCAAGTTGATGAAAAATCGATCTCGATAGCTCTTCTTTATTTCTCACATCGTTGAAATCACCAATAAAATACAAGTTCCCCGCTGCTGCATCTTAATACCCAATAAAGTGTCCCTAGACCTCTTATTCTCACCAACATTACCCCATACGTCCCTAATACAACACATTCATAATACCCAATAAAGTGTCCCTAGACCTCTTAGTTTCTTGTAGTATAGTTCGGTTTTTAGTTGTTAATTGAAATTTTCGTAGGTTGCAATAGATACTTTGACTATCTTAATGATTAATTTTAGATAGTGTTTGTTTATTTATCAAAATTTTATAATTATTTTGTTGAAACCGGGTATCTTCGTTTCACTATGATAAAGAGAATATATAATACACAATGTGCATTTCAAGCACCTAATGATTGATCACTATGGCATATATGAAAACATTAAATTTTTTGCCATGTCATTATTTTGTCATCATTAAAGAGCTACAAGAAAGATTTCATAATTTCGTCCATGATTCGCTGTACTTTGTCACGTTTCAATGTTTTTTGTATTATGAGTGCAAACCGATTTAATTGTTAATAATTTCGAGGGTTATGATATGAGCATTGACAAATATGTTGGATCTTGAGATAGGATTTCTAATTTTGTGTTATGTTTCAAGATTTTTTTTTAAACATAAATGGAAAAAGAGTAGGCATGAAGATGAAGAGTGAAGACAATATAAAGACTGACACCTTTGATTTAGGATATTTTTTCTGAGTTTTTCATTAAAATAACAAAACTGGACCTCGTCCAACAAATCCCATTTGTAAAAGATTTCAGAAAATGACAACTTAACTTGTGAAAAAGCTCGCGAATTCACGAAGTTATTTTTACTAACAAAATACCTTGCACATTTTATTATTTTGACAATCATGACAATGTTTTCACGAATGTAACATCAGCTTGCGACAAAAAATAAAAATAATAGTGTTTTGCAGAATATAATGATCGACAAGGTCGGTTTAATATTGTAATTTCTTTAAAATAATCCAAAAGCGGTTCAAGTTAGAGATAAGCTCGGTTTTGTTGTCGTGATGATGGAGGTCGCGGGTCAACTTCAGTCCTTGCACTTAAATTTTTTTTTTTTTTTTTACTTTAAAGAAATATTTCCAGATAAAATTTTTTTTGGAAGGATTTAACATGGAACTTAAAGAGAACCAAACACCTTGATGCCAACATCTCATTCTCAAACAATTTTGCTAAAGCTAACTTTGTTTAAATTTGTAAAATAATAAACAATAAAAAAAATCTTTATTAGAAAAAGATCTGAAGACTATTGAAACCAACTTTACGGATTTTCGTGAACTAAACTAAAAAGACTAAAAAAATGTTTCACAAACAGGGGTCATCAAAAAGGTAATACCACGAGTTCCCGAGATTTTTTTAGCAAAAAGCACGATGAACGATGTTAGGATCAAAACCATACAAATTAAATAACTTGAATCAAAAACGTAAATAGTATATATAATAACAATTCCGTAGGTCGTCTTTATCCCCATTACTTCACTAGATTTATACATACCATCTTTTAAAATGGAATAAAAGAAGGCATAAGACCTTGTATTGAGTTTGGGCTTTGCGTAAACTGTGATTTAGACTTTTATTTTTTATCATACCCAGACACTTTCTTGCACAAATGATCATTTTTACAAGTCATACAATACAATTACAAACTGCCATTCGCCTAAAAATTAAAATTTGTCCCATTCATAGAAACATTGCATTGCACTTTACATAACTAACTGCATTACCAAATCATTCATATTTCATTCCTCTAAAGTCTAAAGCATACCAACATCCAAACACTACAAGTCATAACATAACCAAAGATGCACAAAACCCCTAAAAATCCTGCCAAAAACTTACTCGTAAGTAAGTCCTCATCCATGGTCAAACAACATGCTGAATAATCCAGTCCACGTTTGCTGGGTGGGTGAGCACAGTAAAGCTTAATACAGAGAGAGAGAGTCAAGGGCAAATTTGTCATTTCCTATATACAAGCACCATTTTAACACTTTAGTTTTCTCCTCCTTGGGTTTAGTCCCAAACATAGAACCTTAAACAACATCATTACATTGACAAACATCATCAAAACAAAGCTACGTATATTATATAATATTATTATAATACCCTACCCAATCTGTCAATAACTTCTTACCAAAAAAAAACTTGGGACTTTGCGACCAAATCTGACAAAAATCGTACCTTTACTTGGAATACTACCGAAACTTGACCGGAAATCCACCTTTCAAATCGGTTTTATACATTTTTTTTTTTCAAATAACCGAACTTGCTAACGACAGCTCATGAAGCTCACTAAGCATCCATTCCTCACCCGTCTGCCCGCCAAGAACAATTGCCCGAGTCCCCCCCACCACACACGTACTATGCCCCCACGCAAACCTGGGCGGCCGCCCGGGCACGTTCAATATCCGCCATGTCGGCTTCTCCTCCGTGGGGTCCAGAATATAAAGCTGTGAAGCCGAATGAAGCCCCGCCACCGACCCCCCAAACACAAGAATCCGCCCACCGGGCAAACTAACCGCCACATGGTCCAACCGGGGCGGCGGCGCTATCCCGCCCGGGTTTCCGGCACCGGGCATTCCGCTTCCGGTCACCGACCTCCAACACGGCTCGTCTTCACTCAAATCCATAGTAAACACATCACTGGAACGGAACCGGAGGGGCCCGCTTTTCGCAAGACCACCAAACATCAAGATTTTCCGGCCACCATACACCGATAGAGTGTGACCTAAACGAGAAGGTGGGGTCCACGTCACTGGAATCTCTCTCCAAACCGGTTTCTCCATTGACAAGTCAAGCAAAAAAGTATCACTTAAAAGCACACCTGAATCCGCACATCCACCGGAAACAATCAGTTTTGTCCCATCGAGGGTGCAGGAGCTATGCCATGATCTCGGAAGCGGAGGAGCGAGCCCTGAAATCTCCCGCCACGTAGGATGCTTCGCGTCCAAATCCAACACAAAAACGTCGTTCAGCAGCCCTTGGGTCCCACACCCGCCGAACACGACCAAATTCGAGCCGTTCACACACGAGAGCGTGTGGCCCCACCGCCCAGGTGGCGGTGAGCCGACTTTCACGTGTTGCCACTCGGGTTTACTAGAGTTTAAGTCGAGGACAAAAGTGTCATTCATCGGTTGCATATTGACACCCTCGCCCCCGAAAAGAACCACCCGGTTTCCGACAGCACACGCGCTGAAGTTGCACCGGGAGGGTTCCACCGCCCCGCCAACCGTCACCTTCCGCCATGCAGCCGCCTCGAGGGTGGTCAACTCCCGAGCCAACCGACCCCACCCCAACCTCTTAGCCCCGGGGACAGTTTCTAGAACCCTAGTTGTCTCACTACCCCAAGCATTCTGACACACCATTCTCCATAAATCCTCGTTTTTCGCAACCTCATAAAACCTCCTGCAAACGGACCCCACGGAAGCAATATCTCTCGGGGTCAACCGAGAGAGAATCTTTAAAGAAATGACTTCATCACTTAACTGTAGGATCCCGCAGAGTCCACGGGTCGACCCGCGGGTCTGGTCTGGGGTTAACCGGCATGAAAAGAGACTGGACCGAAAGCCATCGGATGGTTTGATGGTTCCTTTTGTGGTGGAGCCTTGGAGTGGGCCCAGGTCAAGGTCGACTTCTGTGAAGAATTGGATACCGATGATGTGGGTGATGACCTCATCATCACCATATATTGGGGTCATGCGTAGTCTGTTCATTAATGGGGTGCCATCTTTTCTGAAATTTAAGAGTTCTCCTTTGAATTCAATTCCATCATCCAGACATCTTCTGATTTCTGAAACTACAGTTGAGTCCACCAGTGGATGTCTTCTTTTTGCATATGGACCTCTGCATTGCAAGAATCGGCTGCACACAAATGCACAAATTAGAGGTGAAAAAGACAAGTTTGCCCCTGTTTTAAGCAACGTAGCAGTTGGAGATATAAAAATATATACAATTAGAGGTAAAAAAGACAAGCCTGCACTCATACAGATCTCTTTACTTAAACAACACTGATACATAAAGTTTAACAAACAGACCTTAGAATCGATACATATAACCTAAGAAATAAGAAATCAGTATCTAAACTAGACTTTAAAAGTCTCCAGATTACTATGATCAAGTTGCTGCTCCATAATGTTACAAGCACATGATGTATATGTACAGCCAAAGTCATTATTTGATGGCTTAATGAGGAACATACCCATTAGTATAAATATGACCCAGAAATACCAGATAATCAGGTTACAAATACCTACTCTAATGAGCAAGCTAGCAATGAAATAACCTGATTTGCATATGTTTTAACCTAGCTAGTGTTCAAACTATTACTAGATATAATTATGCCATGATAAGATCATGAAGTAGTTTCAGAATAAACCAATCTGTGACCCCATCGGTGCATTTTAGCATCCTAAGCATCAAATACCAGACTACCAGTTGTTAATATGTTGAGGATGAATGAAACTTGTGCCCCTATTTGTGAGGAAGCAGACACAAGGTCTGGTACTAAACCAAAATAACCTAGGAAACTAACTCCCAAGCTACTCGTATTAGAAAGACCATAATAAACCTTTTCCACGTTGCTAATATAGGGGCATGTAAAAACGTTTGCTGCATCTGGTGCATTGACAATTTAGTATAACGTGGCACAAAATCTTCATATGGCAAAAAAAGAATCCAACTATTGTTCCTATCCTATTCTAAGAGTGGGGTAATGGGGTAAAGCAATTCATTTCTTCACTCCCTTGAAAAAACTCTTTGCACATGCAAAACAGCAGCAGACTATAAAAATGCTAGCTTAAAGCTGTATATATATTATGTTATGTCAATGTAAACTACCAAAAGATACCTTATCAACTATTATTAACAAATAAAGCGACAAACAACAGATTTTAACCATCCGTAAAGATCACTACTAATGCCCCTAAACATAAGTACACAAAAGCTTGCTGACTCCAAATGCAAAACACAATCCTAGTTAGTTTCTGTACAGAACTATACTCTACTAGTTCTAAATATAAGTAATGAAGCTTTAAACATCTTCATAGATGGTTAAATTCGACAGAAAGCTTCCTATTTATCAACAAGCATAGCTTTCGGTGCAGACTGCAGATAACATTTTTCCCCATGATTCAAAACTAGTCAGAGCATATTTTGCTTAAAAGTAAACATCAATAATCCAATTAATATCAAAAGCCCTAGTTATTAGTTTAACGAGACTGAATAATGGTAACTACAGCAGGAAAGAACTTTAATTCCATTGATTCCTTACGCAAAAGCCCCAAACCATATTAACCCTCAACCAAAAGATCGTAATTCAGCATCACAAAAAAAAAAAAAAACAAAACAATTCACAACATATATCTATATGATAGAACTCACCAATTACGACCGAGGACTTCTTCAGCACGATACCCAGTTATGATCTCGAAAACTGAATTCACGTAAATAATGGGACTGTCAGGCTCCAACGCATCCGTAACAACGAACCCACACGGCGCCGGTTGAAGCAGGCTGTCGACGGGGAAAGGCAGCGGACCTCCATCATTCAATAAAAATCCTTCCTCGTCTCCGCTCAGATCAGAACTGCTACTATCCCACTCCATAAATAGCAAGACAGATACTAAGAAGCAAACGCTTCACCCCATCAGAAACGCCTCCAATTGAACAGCAGAAAGAGAATAAGGATGGATGGATAATCGAGTGAAGAAGAAAAATAACCGAATCCGTGTAAAATCGAGATGAAAGTCCAGCGAATTAGGGTTTTCGGTTTTCCGGATGAAAATTTTGGGGTTTGTGGTATTGTGAACGAGTGGTGGAAGACGTTTGGCAAATGAGCTCCTACACCGACCTACCAACATATCGAAGCGAAGCCAAGCTACGGAGTTAGCTTACCCACTTCACACGTTTCCTGTTTTGATTTTTTTTTTCTTTTTTTTTTATTTATGAGAAAAATATAGAATCGGTTAACTCATCAAAAATTAAAAATGAGCTCAATCACTAACATAGCCATTGTTTTTATAAAAATCATCTGCGAAATCAAATAAAATGGGTGCAACCATTACAATAGGCTGAGAAAACTCAAGTTGGGCTGAGAAATGGGTCTAGTTCTAGTCCCTTTTGTAAAGAAAATTTATTTTTTTATTTTTCCACTCTATTTTCAAAGCTCTTTTAAAAAAACACTAACGTCAACGGCAATTTGGTGTCCTCGTGGTCTATTGGTGGGAACGTCGATGTACTTCATATCTTAATTAGCACTTTTTGTTCCTTATTAATATGGGGAGAACTGCAGTTCTCAATGAAAACCTGACCAAGAGTATTTCTCATTCTATGTTCGTCACAAACTGTTCGGAACATCAGCTCTAAGGAACATGGCAAACATGTGAGCAATATGGTAATGTCGTTGATATTTTCACCATAATCGGTAATCGAAAGCTGATAAGCAGTTCGCTTTTGTCTGTTTTACCAAGATAACCAATTTGAACATTTTGGTGTCGAATTTATGCACCATATGGGTGGGTCGATATTGGTTGAGAGCCAATTTTGCTAGGTTTAAATGAGGCGATACCTGATTGACCTTCACTTATTATTGATGATTCTTGCTTATTACAGAAAACTCTTCGCTTACTCTTGTTATTGGGTGAAATAATTTGGTTGTCTACAAAATTTAATGATGATTTGTAACAAAAAAAAGGTTTTCAAGATATGTTGTTGCATTATATATGTGAGGGTTTTGGGTCTCTTTGGAATTCAAATCGACTCATGCTTGAGATAAGTTTCAAAAACATGTTGGGGCAGCATCATGGTTTTCTCGTCTTGCTCCATGGCATAACGGATATGTGATAGATGAACGTGTAGTTTGGTGGATGTTGAAGGTGTTCCAAGTGTTTCATGGACGAACAAAACTTTCACTAAGATTTATACAACTTGGGTGATTTACATGGAAGACCCAAACGACAATAATATTTGTCGTAAACGATTATATATAAAGATAAAGGTTGAGTCATTAGTTGTGGAACGTTTAAGATTGTGGTACCGCAAGGGAAGGTTCATATTGTTCGTGCTAAGGAAATTACGGGGTGGAACCCAGATTTTATCGATGATGACTCCGACTTGGAGGATGAAGATGAAGATACATTCATGAAGCCTGGTGTAGTTTGTTGTTTGAGGATGGGAGCTCTGCGAGAATTGCCTCATTATTTGGTTCTTTTATTTTGTGAGTGTCCACTTTCTATTCTTTTGACATTAACTGCTCACTAATCGGCTCAACACCCGCACCTGAGCCAAAACCTGAACCAGAACCCGAACCACCTCCCTGAGAGCTCATCTCCAAACTGAAATACGACAAGCCAACAATCAGAACATATCCAAGAATCCTCCTCCCATCAGCTTCTTAGATTCTCCAAGACTCTCACCGATTCGAGTATGGATCTTGTGCTTTAAGTAGTACGGGCGCAATACTACCTTTCATACCTATCCATACTTTCCTCAACAATCCTCCCGAATCCTCTAAGTCACTTCCTCAAACTAATGCACCCAAAACTCACTAAACCGCACTACTAACCCACTGAAGCATAGGCTTTCCTAGGTTCCCGACCTCACCCTGCCCTCAGTTGCTGAAGGATTCCCATTAATGTCAACTAGATACCTCATAAATATAGTCACATGCAATGGAGATCAGATAATCCTTTGAGTAAAAGACTCAATCCTAGAACGGTTGGGCTCAAACGAGAGTTGCGTAATAGGGTCAAGTCCATCACTCTGAGATTTTCCAGCATGCACCACATGTGACTTAGCATATTCACTTAGTAGCTAACTCACATTGCTAAGAGCCCCACAAAGCACAAAGCAAGCAGCATCCAGGCAATGGAAAATCTAACCAGCATACACTAATCAAGCCATTTTATCCACTCATCAGGAATCCATATTAGCATGCAATTCTAAAGGTCATACAATCAGGCTTAAAAATGCATCTCTTCTATCATATATTACTGAGCAGATCCTTAGCCCTAATCTAGCATGTAATTCTCATAATCATATCATATATCATAATAAACATGTATTGGTATTCTGGGAACCACTTACTTGACCTCGGCCGATTGCACGCATCACACCCCTTTCTTGATTAGAAATTCCCTTTTTAATTAAATGTTTATTTTATAAAAAATTTCACCAAACCCTCAGTTTGAGTTCAGGCACACCCGAAAGTATGCCTGAATCCCCTCAAATCAAGGCTCTGATATCAACTTGTAACAGCCTAAAAATCCGAGGCAAAAATTTCATTTTTATTATAATCAAAACACTATTGTAACTTTGTTCAAAACAATGAAAAGCATTTCAAATAATACAATTATCAGAGTCCAATCCCAAAGATCACATATTTCGGAAAACACGGGTGTATGCGCTGTGATCGTCCCGAGCTCTTTCATTGAAAACTGGAGTACCTGAAACACAACTGAAAAACGTAAGCACAAACCTTAGTGAGTTCCCCAAATACCACATACCATACATATCAAACGATCCATACATGTCATACATAACCGTGAGCCATACATAACATTCATATATCATACTCAATAAAGGTGTTATGTGTCATCCATAGTCTTGCCATTATGCCACGAGCCGCCTCGTGGTCTTTCTTGCCAAGCCGGGGGACACAACCATGGGTCTTACAGACAAGTGCCAGGAGCCACCTCCGGGTCTTCCATGCAAATATCACAAAGACAACTATCATATAATCTACTCTACTTAACTAATTAACTGCCAGAGTTCAGACTCTCGTCTTGCATACAGTGTGCCAAGAGCCGCCTCCTGGTCTTTCATACATAATGCCAAGGGCTAACCCCCAGGTCTTCCTACAATACATAAACCAAATGGGCCAGCATTGGTGTCTTCGACCCATAAAACAATGAGCAGACTCACCTCAAATGCTGAAGCTCACTGCAAGAAATCCTTAGTTGTTGTCCTAACAACTTCTCGAGCTAACAATACCAAAATATCACCCAATTAGCAATTGGGTTCCAAACCATGATCCATAATCCATACTTGGGGTAAAATGACCATTTTACCCCTGGCCCAACAAGATTCATAACTAAGGCCCAAGCCCAAATCCAACAAGATCCAAAACCACAAAATCCATAAAAGCCCACTAATGGCCTAATTTTCCAAATTAGGCCCAATCCCATACGGGCGCTATCCTAAGCCCATATTTTACAATTCAGATTGCTTCAAACACCCCTTGGGACAGACTTGATCAAAGGCATAAGTCAAAAGTCAAAGTCAACAGTCCAAGTTGACCCAACTCGCCGATTTGTCCTTCAACTCATCGAGTTTCTTCATTAGATTGCAAAGATCGGGCAAAACCCCCTCAACCCGCCGAGTTCACCCATGAACTCACCGAGTTCGCCAGAAATCTAACCTCTCAACTCATTAAGTCGACCTTTTCGAAACTAAGGGTTTCTCAACCCAGATCTTAACTGAAATGGCCTCAAGAAGGGTAAAGTTTCCAACTTTACCCCTAAGAACCACCAAAATGGGTTCAAAACCCAAACCCTAAACTTAAAAGGGTAAGGACTTAATCATTAAGAACTTATTCCACAGATCTGACCATATGAGGCTAGATGGCCATGTAAAATTTTCAACTTTACACTTATTCATGATTAGAAGAAGTTCAAAAGCTTAAAAGAGACCAAAAGAAGGACTTAATGAATGCATGAAGCCCTTAGGACCATAAAGTCGGTACCTTTATGCCAAAAGAGCTCATGAAGATCATAGATCTGGAAAGGATAAACACTTGGGACTTCTTCCTCAACAACCACCTATCCATGGCTAAAATCATACAAATAAACCCAAGAAGAGATCCAAGCCAATACTAATCAAGGTTAGAGCTATATACCCGAAATGTGCTTGAAATGGAGCAGAGAACCAAGATCTGAAAGCTCCTACTTGAACCACCACCTTGCACCAAGCTTCTCTTCCTTCAATGAGCCTTAAACACACCCACAATGATCTCACAACACTCAAGGAGGCTCTAGGGTTTCGAGATTAGGGTTAGAGGCCATGGAGGCTGGAAATGATGCCAACACCTGGAACTTAAGGTGTTTAAATAGGGTGCAAAACCCCAAAATTAGGGTTTCCTAAACAGCACCCAACTCGTCGATTTGGCTCCTCCAACTCGTCGAGTTGTATCATTAACCTCGCGACCAAAACAACCTCTACTCTCCGAGTTGAGGCTCTTCAACTCATCGAGTAGATCCACTAAATCCTCATGATTCTTCATCTTCAACTCGCCGAGTTCGACTTGAAATTGGCATAATTCCATAATTAACCTTCTAGATTCCGGGTGTTACACCTTCCCACAAATGAATGAGCCGAGCCTCCATATCGACGAAAGGTTCCTAATCGGTGTCGAAACTAATGACGGTTCAATTTTGTTGGAAGAAGCGAAAAATCCATTGGATGGGATGGTTCAATATTTTCTCATGGCTTGAGGCAAAAAGAGATCATCACTTTTACACGTGGCAGTTTTTATGTGGTGACGATTCAGTAACCTACTTTCCATGTGGCGTTATATGATTGAGCAACGTTTAAATTCAAATTTCACGCCAGTTATTTAAGGAATTTGATCATTCCAATTACAACTTTACGTTTCCAGAAATCACGTAAAAGCTAATTGTTCATCGCAATTTTTATCGCACAATTCTCTCTTACTTGCTTACCATGGCTGCTGAACAACATGTTATTGATCAATTCAACGCTAATGATGAAGAAACTTCACAACCGACGATGACGATTCAACACAACAATCTCTGGTTTAATCCTTCAATCAGTGTGCGTGACAACTCGAAATTTCTATCTTGTACAACCAT